GMKGRRRGSAGCYYYGGGATGGAGGGAGCTWTGGGATACGGGGAGCAGCCTTGGGATGGAAGGAGCAGCCTCGGGATGTGGGGGACAACCCCTGGATTCGGGGAGCAGCCCGGGATGGAGGGAGCCCTGGGATGGAGAGAGGCTCGGGATGTGAGGAACGGCCCCGGGATGGAGGGAGCTTTGGGATGCAGGGGACAGCCCTGGGATGGAGGGAGTTCTGGGATGTGGGGAGCAGCCTCGGGATGCAGGGAGCAGCCCCGGGGTGGTGGGAGCAGCCCTGGGATGCAGGGAGCAGCTCTGGGATGCGGGAAGCAGCCCGGGGATGCGGGGACCAGCCCGGGGATGCGGGGACCAGCCCCAGGGTGGAGAGAGCAGCCCCGCAGGGACACGGGCACAGTCGCACGGACCCCTCAAGCACCAGCCGCCTGCAAAGGGGAATTTTTTCGTGCCCAGACAGGGGTTGGCTGGTGGGGCAGCCCCGGGTTTCAGCCCCTCGGYTCGCCCTCCCCTCTGCTCCCGCCGACGGCAAGGCAACAGCAGCTCTTCCTACTGCTGAGGCAAAGCAGGGAGCAATCCAAGCTTTTTAGCATGAGTGGGTGTTTTTCACACAAAATCTCAGAAACCAAGCAGCAATCTTCCCTGTGCATCCCAACTGGAGACATGGGGGGTTTTTTTGTTTTGGTTTTTTTCCCTTCAGCAGCTCACAGAGCCCCAAAAAGACATCGAGCTCYGAGTACCTGCTCCTGCAGACCCCCAGCCTGACACCATCCCACACCAAGAAGTTTTCCTCAGGCTCTCCTTTCCTTCCAGGATGCCACAATTTYCCTCCTGTCCCTCCAAACCCTCCTCCTTGGCACGTTTCCACACCTCTGCTGGGCCCTGAGCACCCTCAGYACAGGGTTTGGACAGCTGTCCCTGCCATGTCCCCCTCCCACAGCCACCTCCAGGCCAAGGCATTCACCAGTTGGGGCTTGAGTTTGTTGCATTGCCAAAAAAAAAAAATGTTGCAAAGCTTGGTTTCCAAAACAAATAATACTTATTTTAGCATTTTCTAAACAGAAAAATGTTTCYTATTTTGCATTAATTGCAGCTTTGTTAAAAACAGACTGTAAGCACTTTTTTAATGCTTAAAAACAAATGAAAACCATCAGTTTTGTCCAAAACAATCTCTTTCCCCACTGACTCAGGGATAAAGGTCTCTTTTTGAGTTCCAGGCTGGTCCCAGAGAACTTTCAGCCCAATACTTTGGATTTTCAGCTAAGCCACCACAGCTTTTCGGCTGGATCCAAGTTTGGATTCCTGGCATCCAAGTCCAGCCACAAATCCCTGATCATTCCCTCTCCTCGAATCTTTTCCCCGTTTCTCTCACCCATTTGTTACAATTCCATACCACTGCATTCCCTCCATGCACATCCCTCCAATCTGGCATTATTTCCATACAAAGCAGCACAAGGAGGAGCAGGAATATGGATTTGGGGCACAAAGCCATATCCATCSTGCTCTGGAAAGGGAATCCTCACCCAGAGAGGGATGGGAACCGAGCACGCCCTGCCAGGACAAACTTTCTCCGGCTTTTAAACATTAATCTTYCTTCATTTTCTACTTTGCATGAATAAACCACAAGTTTTTAAAAGCTTTTAACTCAGCCATATTCCCACATTATCTGCTGAAGGCATCCCATCTCCTGCATCCTTAGTGAAGGACCAAAGAAAACATGACTAAGGATTTGGTTCCTTTAGTAAGAGTRAAGTTATGTTGTTTTGACCTTGAAAAAGCAAAATCATCACACTGAGGAAAAAAACCAGTGAGCAGAGTTTCTCCCTCAGCCTGGGATGAGGACAGGGATATTTCTGTCCTGAATTTCCCTCTAACTSACACCCCACCAGCCGACACAAAGCAAATTTACACTTTGCTTCACAATTATTTTGGGAAAACAGCTGCAAAGAAGCATTTGGGATTTCCCAGGGCTGCCAGGCATGTGGTGCATCTTTCCTGGCCAGCCCAGGACAGGGACATCTGTCCCCAGGGAACTGAGCTGCTTTGGGGCTCAGTTGAACCCTGTGGCTGCAGCTCATTCTCCAAAACCCACACAGCGAGCTCTGAATCTGCCCAAGGCAAAAAGAAATAAAGTTATCTTGGAGGAACTAAAGGAAATGAACAAAGAAATCATTTCTAATTAACAGAAATGTTTGATGGACTCAGAACAAACATGTTGCTCTGCTTTCAAACCCTGAGTTGAAAAGCTATATTTGGGTAAATTTCAAAACAACACATTCTTACTTTTTTTTTTTTTTTCACTTTTTTTTTTTTTTTTTTCTCCACTTCTCCCATTTGCTTTTTTTTTTTCCCACCCCCACCTGGCAGTGATTATTACCCAAACCCAGCACACACTTAGCTGCTCTCTTTGCATATATTTTGGCCAATTAGGCTGGCACCCGAATTGCCAAACACAGCTCTAAGGCTGACCCTGGAGCAGACCTTTGGTACCTCACTGCCTTTACCTTCCCTTCTGCAAAATGGGAACAAATGTGCTTTGATCAGCCAAACAAATCCATYGCTGCTCTCCAGCTCTGCAGGACCGAGCAGCCACTGGCCTGTTTCATTTGTTTGATTTCCAAGACACATAATAAAAAGGTGTATAAATATGTATTTAGCTGGTGGAGCTTTTCTGGGATATCTGGGGTTGTTTGCTTTCCGATATCAAGCAGAGAATCTAAAATGCATATTTAAATTTGACAGKCAGCCCCCGATCGGAGAGGAGACATTCTGGTCCGCTGGGCACATTTAGACATGATTTTTGTGTGTATTTCCAGAGGTTTTTTTCCCCAGCTGTCTCAATGCATATTCACATCTGGGACCAGAGGAGTCTCTGGGGGAAATAACACGTTTTCAGTGAAGCAGAGGTTTGCTCGCCCTCTCCTTGCACAGAGGAGAGCAGAGGCAGAGCAGCTCAGGGGAGCAAGATGAGGAGCATCCCTGCCCCCATCACGGGTGCTCCATCACCATGTGAGCCCCAAAGCACCTCCATGGGCTGATCCTGCTGCCAAAGGGATCCCTGACAGTTCTGCATCACCACATGCCACAGAGTGCTGCCTCCCTGCTCCTCCAGGTCCTGAGGACCGTCCTTGCCCTGGTCACCTCCACCCTCCTTACCAGCCCCAGCATCCCAAAAGCTGTGCACACACCCCCATGGAGTATCCCAGGGAACTGGGGGACACCTCTCTGCAGGGCTGGGGCTTTGCAAGGAGCCCCAGTGGTCCCTTGGTGGGTGTGTGCTCACACTGGGAGGTGTGGGCGAGCAGAGTGGGAGCACTGGGGTGGGCAGGAAGAGGTCCAAGAGGCAGAGGACTATGAGAAGGAGGGTTGGGATGGGCAGGATGGGGAGCAGGAGCTCTGGGATGGGTGAGATGAGCAGGATGAGGAGCAGAAGGGTTGGGATGGAATGGATGCTGGGATGAGCAGGATTCAGAGCAGGAGCTCAGGGGTGGGCGGGATGGGCAGAACAGGAGCTCTCTGGGGTGGGCAGGATTTGGAGCAGGAGCTCTGGGATGGGCAGGATGGGGTGCAGGCGCCCTGGGATGGGTGAGATGAGCAGGATGGGGAGCAGGAGGGTTGGGATGGAATGGATGCTGGGATGGGCAGGATTCAGAACAGGAGCTCTGGGGTCGGTGGGATGAGGTGCAGGAGCTCTGGAATGGGCAGGATGGGATGCAGGAACCCTGGGATGAGCAGGATGAGGAGCAGAACGGTTGGGATGGAATGGATGCTGGGATGGGCAGGATTCAGAACAGGAGCTCTGGGGTCAGTGGGATGAGGTGCAGGAGCTCTGGAATGGGCAGGATGGGATGCAGGAATCCTGGGATGAGCAGGATGAGGAGCAGAAAGGTTGGGATGGAATGGATGCTGGGATGGGCAGCATTCGGAGCAGGAGCTCAGGGATGGGCAGGACAGGGAGCAGAGGGCTCCAGGGAAGCACAAAGCCTCCCAAACCGGCCGTCCCTGCGGGTTTCACCCCTGTGCTCTCTCCGCAGTGCCCGCCCCAGGCAGTCCCCGCAATCCCCTCCCGCCCCTCTCCCTCCTTCCTGTCCCCTCCCTCGGGGGGTGTGTGTGTGTGCTCTGCTGAATGAAAGGCTACCCTTTTCTCCTTGACATCTTGTTAGAATGTGAATACAACAGCTATTGATTTGCATTTCGTGCAAGGAGAGAGCGAAAAAAACCCTCTCTTTTTTCTTCATTTTTTTTTTTAAAAAAAGGGCTCTCTGAACTCAGAGCTCCTGCAGGAATAAACAACCTGGATGGGGCTTGGAGAAACCTGGTCTAGTGGAAAATGTCCCTGCCCACAGGAGGGGGTTGGAATGAGATAMTGGAGATCCCTTCCAACCCAAACCATCCCACGATTGTCTGAATTGAGCYCCAGCCAGCCCAAGCTTTGCAGGGAGAGCAAAAGAACCCCCCTGATCATCCTCCCCA